AAGGAGAAGGCAATATTCTGTTGTCCATTTTGTGTTTTTCAATATTAAGAGACTGACTGCTGTATTTCCTGTCAAGGCCTGAATTCATAAATAATGCAATTCTCACAAAGGTATCAATCTTTAGACAAAAAGTTTAATAAAGTTGGTTGGAAGTAAGTCCCTGCTCAACAAGTAAAAGGGATAATTTCTGCATTTTGGATCCATTAAACAAGTTCAGAAAGCGATTGACTGAAATTCAAATCTGAAAGTAATGACTAAATCATTTAATGCTTGAGTTTGAAGTTTGACGTTCTAGTGTTCTACAGTGTTCCCCATCTAAAAAGTATCACGGCAGGAGGGCTCACCTCCAGTCTATACCTACAGTCCCACTGCTTTTCCCTAGCCATATAGCATGGATCTGGTAGCAGCTCTCAGCCTGGGGACACAGGATTTTACTGTAACAGCCTACTTCTAAACAGCAATCTTCATGGATTTTCTGCTTTGATATTGCTAATTTCATATATACTTACAGTGGTATGATGTTCCCTGGAAGCCCCAGCTTAAACATCTGTGTTTGTCAAAACCAGTCAGCGTTTTCATGACTGCACATATACCCTTATAGTTGTTCAGTATAGCTTTTCCCTGAAACACTGTGCCTTGCTTTTTGCACATGGCAAGTGAAAATGCAGAGGGCCTTTATTCTGAAGTGGAAGAAAACCACAGTAAAATCAGCTAAAACTCTCTGTACCTAAATTTACAAATTTTCAGTCACTTCTAAAATAAGCATGTCATACATTCATATATTTGCATTGAAAAAGCTAAGCTGATTTTAGAAAACGAGTATGATTAAATCATAGGCAAATTTGTGTCGACCACCCCCTTTTTAGAAGGGGCTTTTTTAGCTTTCTTTGTTTCACCAGAATACAGATTATCTATTTGAAATACATGAATTGAATGGACTTCCCATTGAGGTTAGTGTATTCTAGCATTGTAATAAAGGTTATGAAAAGATGTCCGAGCACCAGCTGGCCTTCCTTTGATCCTCTCCATTCTTGTGATGATACATTTTCACACTTAAGATGATTCCCTTCTACCTCAAAGGCTGAGAGCTGCTTTGGTCCTTACAAATATTAACTGCAATCACAATGACCTATCTTTCTGGTTCCAGTCATCTGTTTAATATAGAGTGGAAGGTCAGAACTACATTAAAAGGGCCTGAAAGGCTTTATTTCAGTATACTGCCCCCTGCAGAGCTTCACAAAAAGCTGGCAGACTTGTAGTTCATGCATGCACGCTCCTCAGCACTGCATTGTGCTGTTGTATTAATGGGCTTTTGTAACCTTCCAGGAAAAATTCCCTCACCAAGAGAACAAAACTGTTGCCAGATCTGAACACACATGTGAATATCAACAACATAGAAAAATATATATATTTAAACAGTAGGGGTACTGTCTTCAGAAAAAAAGAATGTCTGAGCCATTAGCTTGCATCTTCACTAGGCTGTGTTTTAAAGGTAATTTTTATCTATTTGCTAGGAGGGAGATTTAATAACAGAGATGGAAACCAACTGTTTAGAGAAGGCAAATTCAATAATAGATGTCAGTAAGGATTAATGAATAAGGCTATGGACCAGAAAGCACAAGCCTGTGTGTACCAATACAAAGAAATCTATTTGCAGCACAGTGGAGCACAGGCCACTTTGAAGTCATTAGCATACTGAACTACCGAATAGCTGCATCTAAGGCCCTTCAGTCATCATTAGAACACATTTCCCAAGCCATCACATTTTTCTCCTTCAAATCTGCCTGTAAAGCTCACGTTTGCTTGCTTCCTATTCAGTCTTCCGTACAAGCAGGGCAATTTACATTTCTTGCCATGTTTGCTTTATATATCACTCCTGAAACAAGTTCTATAGCCAGAAAGCTAAACATCCCAAATACCAGCACACTCCCCAAAACATGGAGACCGGAGATTTTTATAGTTCTACAACTATGTGGGACTTTGTTTACCTATATGCCTCTACATTTTTCCTCACTGAGCTTGAATATGTTAACCTCTGGTCTGGATTATCAGGGTGGGTAAGTGGCATGAAGTGAGCAGCAAGAATTGAATGCAGCTGTCCATGTATGAATGGAGCTACCCACAGTGGGGAAGACAATGAAAGGAAAAAAAAAAGTGGATTCCAGAAGCAAATGGCCTATGGGGCCAGTTCCACTTGCTTCACACTGATTTTGTCTTAAATTTGGCTTGCTCTTGTATATGCCACTTAGATGTTTCGGGAAGACTTCATGTGTAGCAATTACTTCCCTATAAAATTATCAACAGGAGTTTAAGCCTACTTGGACTTGCTGAAGAAGCCATGGAAAGAAAAAACAAGTGCTCCGTTCTAAAGCCCAAACTCTGAATACAAGAAACTGCAAAAGATCTAGTAGGCCAAGTTTAAAGAGAGCATGGAGAAAGTCTCAGACCACAAAAACACTATACATCCTCAATAGCAACGGGTAATAAACAAGTGGTAAGTCCTTCCTAGTGAAATTCTCCTTCCTTATACAACTTTTTATTTTCAGTTCTAACTAAACTAGATTGTAAGTCTCAAGCACAGGATTTTTTTGTGTGGGGGTTTTGTTGTTGTTGTTGTTGTTGTGGGGTTTTTTTGTTTGTTTTTTTTTTTGGGGGGGTTTTTTTTTTTTTGGGGGGGGGGGAGTTATTTGAACTTAATGATATTTTCCTGTGTACACACAGAAAACATACCCACATAAAAATGGCAGGTTAAATTTTGTATAGGTTTAATGCACTTAAATAATCCAAAACCCAAAGTAATGCCTTTTTTTTTTTTTTCCCTATTGTGCAGGAGTCAAATGACAGATATCTCTACACTGAACAAACCCAGACTAAGCCCCGAGCAGTTACCTGCATCTTCTGGAAACAAAAGTGATTCAAGCTTGCAAGATGAACTGAAAAGCAGCTCTGAACTGTGGCATATTCTAATAAATAACAATTAGCAGTCCTTCGATTTTACTATGTCAGGTTAGTTAACTTTTTTTTTTTAAATAGCATGCCATTTACATCTACTATAATGGCACTTCAAGAGTGCCTGCTACTAGTCAACTGGCTGATGCTTATTCACACCCCTCAGCATGCTGGCTATGGATATTTACGAGCAATAGCTATGACTGGACGTCTGCTGCTAGTAAAATGCTATTGGCTCAATAATTATGTCACAGTTTCCACCTGTTCTTCAAAGTCACAGGGTAGCTGCTGTTTTACAACTGTGCCATTAGAAATATCAGACCACATTTGCTATTCCCACTCAAACATCCTCTTTGTTATGGACCTACAGGTTGGCATAGGAAATTCTTAAGAGAATATGGAAGAAGATCCTCTTTCAAGGTAATTTTCTACAGAGGTCTCACTGAGAAAAGCTCAGACAACACTGAATTGACATGACATACTATATTTGATTTTGGAAACAAAAGCAAACTAAATCTTCTTGCAGTCAGGCAGTCATATTCTCACTGAAAGAGGCTGCAGGGATGGGGCTTCTTAATACCAGACTTCTTACTCAATACATACAAATTTATTCTCTTCCACCTGACTCCATCCATCTAATCATCTTTCAAATTTTCTCTCTTGCTCAGATTCTCCTTTAAGCCAGCTAGAAATAAGAGTTCTCAGTACTCCTGCCCAGTGCTGCAACTCCTGCTTTTTCTGGTTCCAGCTGCGCAAACTCAGGACTGCTTTCTCCTACCGGTGTTTTCTCTACTTTCTTTTCAAAGATGCCACATTGCAGCATGATGTTTTATCAAACTCCCCAAACTGCAAACAGTATTCACAATCTGGTAGCAGGTTTGAGAAGCTTCATGTTTTTGGTGTGAAACACTGTCACAGAAAGACATACTGCCAAGCAAGAGAAATTATCCTTAGTGCAACACGACTGTCCTCTCAGCACAAAGCACTTGATACTGACCAATCTAATCTATGTGCTTACAAGCATCTCAAGGTGCCACTTTAAGACAGTCTTCAGCAATAACACATTCCTCCAAAACAAAGTGTACAGACCTCCAATACTCTGTTAGAAGAGCACTAAGGTCACAACATGTTCCGTTGTAAACCTATCCTGTACCAACTCCACCAAATACAACAGAGAAAGCAAAACCATTGCACAATCAGAGGCAACTACAAAGTTAGGAGGTTCACAAGTCACAGATCTGTCCTTTCCAAGCATCAGAATCCTTGTGGGAAGAGAATCACATTTCTATTTTCTCTTAGGATAAGTTAATCTAAAAATAGTTTCTGACCAGGGGAAAGCTACAGAGCTGGTAACTGGCAGATTTTGCCCTAGGTGCCAGTGCAAGGAAAGTAGAGTGAGAGCAAGCGTTAGCACACATGGTCAGGAACAGAACCGTAATACATGGATTGTAGAATTGCACGTGGATGATTTCCACAAAGATCTGCAGAGTTCACCAACAAATAACATAAAAGAAAATGAATGAGAGAAGAGCCAAGGATTCAAATATACAAAATGTTCCCTGCTTAATCCTATGTGGGACAGTGTTCTGCTAGCCTACATGCTATTTTTAAAATTAGGCCCTGCAAAAGCTTCTTTGTTTTGACTTCACTGTCTAGAAAAGCATAGATGTTTTAGAGTTTCCTCATATATGTGTGTTACAAGAAAAGAAAGTTGAAAAAAATTCCCAATTTGCTCTCCAGTGCATCTGGATTTTTTTTTTTTTTGTTTTTTTAACTGGTCTGGTAATGTAGTGAAAAAAAGCTTATCACAACATTAAATGATGATTGAGAGAAATTTGTATTTTTCAAGTCTTACACACATAGTGTAATTGTTTTAAGGAGTGATATGCCCTGGCCAGAAATATTATCTTTCTCATCTCAACTCTGGCCCAAGTAAAGGAAGGGAAGTCACAAATTGCAATGCATGGTGTTAACACAGTAAGAAACTGAACAGCTGGTTTTGAATTTCTGTGAGGAAAAAATGTGGTGAGCATTTTAAAAATAGGAAAAATACTGTATTTTCTAGGCTCTGAACCTCCACACAATGCAAAAAGGGGACTAGAAGTCACCTGTGGTCTACATTCCTGTTGTAGCAAAACTCATTCTTGTTCTACAAAGAACCAATCATAAAAGATTTGAATCTTTGTGCTTTAGTGGGATACAAGTAATAACGTATTTTCTAATAGCAGGAAAATGTAACATTACATATTAATTACTAGACAGTTCTAGCTATTGGTTTTACACAAATACAATATTTTTCAGCAGAGGAACTGCAGTGTTATTAAAACAGCAGTGATACCAAATCTTGTTAGCTGTTGCCGAACACTGTTAGCTGTTGCCGAACAAGAAATCTGCTTCTCAGCCTACAAACATTGAGAGTCCTTATAGGAAATTTGTACTTCAGACAGACTTTCCAGCCTGTGAATGAACTTCAGGAAAAAAGTTAGTATACAGATATTTTCATTTCAGAAACTACAGTATCTAAAGGAATGTTTTAGCATAAGGCTTGACAACACATTGCTAAAACTTTTTGATGGGTTTGAAGAAGTTAAGCCTGTAGAACTCAAGTGATATAGCAAGCAATTTGAAATGCAGCAACAGATCTATACTGAAAATGAATGCAATCATTCAAAGCATCAAAGCAGAAAATGGCCTCTAAGCAAAGTTTCTAACCTGTAACAGTCTACTCATTCTATTAATTAACCAGTGCTTTACACTAATTCACTGAAATGCAAGACAATCTACCAGTCTATTGATTGCATTTAGTTTACAGAGCAGCTCCTTCTTGCAGTGGTATCCCCATTAGCATTGTAAAGATACCTGGAATAAATGTAAATATGTTACTGAAACTCTGTCATACAAAGATGAAACACATTGAGCAACTAAAATACAATGTAAAACAACTTCCCTTTATTCATATTTCCTGATCTTGGTCTTCATTGTACAAATAATCTGCTGTGCAAAATAGTTTATAAAATACTAAAAAAAGCTTTTATTGTAAAAAAATAAAGTTTCTAGATATACAGTTACTTTGCACTATCACAAATATTGTTCAGTATTTAACATTTAAATTTAATATCACAATACTCAAGTCATGTAAACCAATGATCCTACTGGTAAGAAAGCCACTACTGAAACTCAGGTTCACTAGGGATTTGTTAAGTATTTTCCTCTTCTCATATCTACATCCTTACACAACTCTGATGACCCATACTTGGAACTGCACCCATATAATGAAATTAGGCATTGAGCCATCCTTTCCTCCCTTATCAGGTAAAAAATACCAAGTTAATGGTAATTAAGTAAATGGCAAATTTTAGTAAATCATGGCAACAACACGAGCTACACAGTGCAGACACAGAACAACAAAGGTCCCCAAAACTAGATATGAACTTTGCTGAGAAGCAGCGTAAAGGCAGCCTACACTGGGTTCTGGGCATGCGTATCTTGATTTCTACCAGTATTCCAAGCTAGCTGGCTTTAAAACTAGCTCTGAGCTCTGTATGCTGCAGTGCAATTGCAATCACTTGCAAAAAACGCCTCTAAGAAGTTTTGATACAGTCACCTGAGCCCTCATTGTTCCAATTCGCTTTCATTCTGCAAGGTCTTCATAGCTAAACCCCAGAGGGTCATGCTAGAGAAGAAAGGACCTTCATTATTCTTGTATGCGGCAGATGTTCGACTGCCTAGTGGATCATTACAATGACTGTCCAAGCTAACCATAGAGGAACGAATCATGGGAATATTATCAGACTGTAAGGGTTCTTCTGCAGAAGATACATCTACATCTGCATAAGCATATGGTGGTGGCGGTGGAGTTTGTTGTGTCTGAGCTTTTGGGAGTTTAGCAGAATCCACATTCAGTTTTTGTTGGTTTGCTGAGTCGTGGTGTTGAATCATTGATCGCAACTTACAGTAAGAATCTGCAGAACTATCAAATTCAGTTGAATTTGCAGCTGGACGAATGGGAAATTTAACAGACACTGGTAACAATGTAACAGACATTTCTTGGCCAAAAGAGTCAGAACTCTGAGACTTCTCAAGGTCAGAAGTTTCAATCCCTTGAGTAAATTCCTCTAGTGTGTGTGGACCTTCCTCAGTGGCTTTACAATGCATTTTCTTGTGCCGCCGTAGAACAGCAGAGCGAGTGAAGCATTTGTTACAAGTTTCACAGGTATAGGGTTTTTCTCCTGTATGAGTCCTCACATGTCTACGCAGGTCTCCAGAGCCTGCAAAACATTTCCCTACAAGACAGAAGTGATAGATTAAGAGTTTGTTCTCAACACAAGTGCATAAACATGTTTTAATTAGAGAAAGTGTCAAGAGATAAGGTATAGTATGTCCCAATTGTGATACTTTTTTATCTAGAACAGGTTCAAACAAGTTCCATCTAGTTTTGCAATTCAATGACTTGTTTCTTCTTTCTGATCTGATTTTATAACTTGTGTTTCCCAGTTATTTAGTTTTTTGTCTCTAGACAGGAATATCCATTAGTATTTGAAAGCTATGAGTGCCATCAGTTTGTATCAATCTTCATGGAGGAAAAAAAGATTAAAAATAATCAACTTAATTCATCTGTCTGGAAAAAAAGTATGCTGATAAGCTTCTAAACACATTCTTCCAGTGAGAACTGCATCATAGAAAGTAACAGTTTGTTCATTACCAAGGAACTATTCTTAAAGTGCTGACAAACGTAGATTTGTTAACTTTGAGCTAACGTAATGCAGCAGTCCATTTTTTATACTCCAGCGAGCCAATGTGTCAAAACTGTAATTTTTTATTAAAATATTCAAGTGTTTGCCTATTGTCAGAACCACAGGCTTAAATAAGCTCAACTACCATACTGCAAAGAAAAAAGTGTCTGAGACTGAACCAAGTGTAGAAGAACAAGCAGAACTAGAGAGCATTCATTTCCAGAACTGCTACAGAATTCAGACACATCACATTCTTCAGAATAGTAGAAATAAGCTAGTACCTATTTGTGATTTTCTCTCATTTTAACTAGGTTAAAGATTATTTTATTTTGTGTCAACAGATACCAACTAAAATGAACTGTATTATCTGAAAGCTCAGTAAAACTGCAGTCTCAATTTTCAGCATTATACTTTTTACTCTACTGCCCAGATTTCTTTTCAGAAAAGCCATTAAAGAGTAACAGTAAGGTTACAAATTACTGGAGTAATACACATGGATTTATTGCACGATGTGAGTGATTCCTTAATGCTTGATCAGATTCTCTTTGCACAGTTTTTGCCTCGTAGTACAGGATGACCTGGCTAAAATGAAAAATAATGAAAAGACCACTACAAGACAGTATGAAAATAAGCCTATTTTAATGACAACACAAATGTTTGTTTATACCTTCATATCCTGCATGTCTATATTTCTTCCTCCTAATGCAAGACCTCTTGATAGTATCAGCTTTTCTTGTGTCTCAAGACATTACAAACAAAACATACTGCAGTTGCACATTATCATATGGAGCTACCCTCCTCCAAAGCTAATTCCTCAGAACATGAATGAAATTATACCAAAATAGCACTTAACGGAAGACAAGTCTATAGTATGCAGGATGCTAAGTAACATATAAGGTAAGGATAGACAATGCAATTTCTGAGAACTATGTTATACACAGATGAATTATTGATCAAAGAGCCACTTTCAGACCAGTTGGAAGTATGACCTATCTAGCAGATTTTGAAAAATGGGTGTTCTCTGGTACGAGGCATTGATCAAGTTTTGATTTTACACCAGAGGTTGAAGCAAAGTAGAAAAAGGTTGTTATTATCAAACTCTATAGTTACATGCAGTTAAATCTGAACAGTATTCAACTGGGGGAAAAAAAAACAAAGGTGGGGGGTAAGACTCCATTGATAGCAAAGTGATGCCAAACCTAGTTTTCCATCAGAAAAGACTATACTGAAAATAAATCAATTTTTGAAGCAGCTAGTATCAGTACTCCTCTAGCAAACGTACACATCCAATGTTGATTTCTCATATTTCCTTTCTCTATTCAATGGAAATTCACCTTTAAACTTATTTACAACAGCTAAAGGAGTTTCATACACCAAATGAAAGGCTATGAAATACACAAAACAGAAGATTTTGGTGAAAAACTTTCACAACATGGTATGTCAATTTAAAATAATTTTGGTTAATTGTTATTCTGCTGACATGGAACTTTTACTTATCATTTAAAAAGCAAAGACACAACCAAGATATGCACAGTAAATCTTACCACATGCTGAACAGCTGTATGGTCTTTCTCCGGTATGCCTAATTCTGTGCTTTACTAATTTTCGTTGCATGTTGAATGACTTCCCACATTCATCACAGGTGAATACTTTATCTGCTGTATGGGTCTTTTTGTGCTCCTTTAAATTACTGAAGTTACTGAATCCTAGAAAAAGATGACAGATGCTGAGATTAAAATGGCTCCTCACATTTCAATCAAAAAACCTCACAGGTAGAAACTTTGGTTCTTATATACCTCTGCCACAGATATCACACAGATGAGGCTTTTCTCCAGAATGAATAATAATATGACGCTGAACATCACCAGAAGCAGCAAATCTGTAACAGAATACAGAAACCCAATTACTGTCTTTATAAGACCCTCATTCTCTTAAACTGAGTATCATATGGAAATCAACTATAATGAATGCCTGATGTTCTGAACAAAGATTAAAATCGAAAATACAGATGAATTAATAAATTTAAGAAAAACATTTTGAAGCTGGCAATGTCCAATTAAATTTATGGTAGGAGAAAAAAATCTTTTCATCATTCATGTTTTTATGCTGCATCTAATTTAAACTACAAATGCTACTCCTAAATTAGTGTTATCTTCTGTCACTTGTTAGCAGAAGGCAGAAATATTTAATGCTTTGCTTAAATTCTTCGTTTCCCATACTTCATAATTTCCATAAAATGTAACAAAAATTGTACGATCAAATGAAAAAAAAGTGAGGGAAGGGTACAAACCAGTATGTTTTATTGTGACTCACACTGTTCAGAACACACATAACAGTATATCCTTAACTAAAGATACAAATATACAAAAAAATTAAGACCAGGGATTATATATGTGGTGACATGTTTATCTTATTACTGAGACCTGCAACAAGACTGCTTGCAGACATGTATGTATTTTAATCCCATCAATACACATTTAAATCCAATGTCTTATAAACAAAATTGAGCAGCACACTGCTTTAGCTCTTGGCTCCTAGTTTATCATTAAGATTAAAGAAAACATGTACAAGTTTTATCATGTTAACTTTACTGAGGTGAACAATTCCACTCACCTTTTCCCACAGATTTCGCAAATGTATGGCTTTTCACCAGAATGTCGACGTAAATGTGTCTGGAGATTACCTGCCTGAAAGGACAGTAATATAAACATTTAAATTCAGCTAGCCTGTTGTTGTATACAGATAAAGATACAATGATGGGGACTATGAGACTGGCTTTTTATTCCTAATTCTAAGGCACTGAAGACTACAAAGCATGTATGAACTCAAACATTCTTATCTCGTAAAGACAGACTACCGGGTACTTCAAGATAAAATTGCTTATGCAAGCAATTATATATTGACAAGACCAAAGAAAAAATAAAAAAAGAAGCCTGGAATCAAATGCTAAGGAAAAGAAAAGATCTATAGTTGAGAACAGATCCAATTATAAATGAAAATTACACTATCTAGATTGCAGTGAAAAAGAAAACTTACTAGTAATATGGTTTATGTTAGTCTCATTTTTCCTGTCCTAAATAAAATATTGTTACATCAGGATGTCTGAATTAACTTCCCAGGGGGTTAAAAAGATAAGAATAGGGTAAACATTTTTCAATCCATAAAGTAATCAGAGTCAAGTGCTCCAAACCTATAAATATTTACTGATATCAGAAGAAAACAGAACAGGAAGTACAGAAATGAACAAATGGATTACTGGTAACTAATTTTTATTATGTATCTTTCCTCTCCCAATCCTGTAAAAGTCATGCTAGTCTAGCAGGTAAACCAGATAATGACTAGGAAAAAACATCTTACTCATTCCAACTCTTTTTTTAAAAAATAAATGTTTTTAAAGTTACTGGTGCTTATGAATGGCTAATCCACTGAGAGTACACTTCTCAAAGCACAAGATACAGCTAGTCTGGATGAAAGAGCTGCAGATGTTCCATAAATTGTGCATACTCCCACAGTCAGTTTTTAACCCTTTCATTCTCTGATACATAACTGCCTGGTTATATCTAAGTACACTAAAGGAACATTAAGTCCTTTCAATTAGGAAAGAAAATTGGGGATGCAAAGATGTCCTCAGTCACAGTACAACAACAAAAATAAACCCTATCAGTAATTTCTTCCAACTCCCTTAAATTACCTGTGATAATCAATCACCACTAATCAGAGCTTATAACATACCAGAACTGAAGTACTGCAGACAGAGGACAATATTAAATGAATCACCGTTTGAACCCTGAGATTTCTTTAACTCCTGTAAAGTTTTTCAGACCATGGTATGACTGAACCACTGTTCTCTCAGGCTAAACTTTGTAATACTGAAATCTATTCAAAGAGAGGGACTAGGCACCCATTTCTGATGAAGACAACTGAACTGACTTCTCCATGCAATAGTTTATGCTTTGCATGGACAAGGGATTTTTTTGCAGAGGTGCATCTGAGAGAAACATACAAGACAGAAACTTTACCTCCATCCACATCACAAAACAAACGATATCATAGGTACTGGAAAGTTATTCTGGATAAAGGCAGAGGGTGAATTTGAAGTGCAACAATTATTCTCAAATAGTTCCCATACAGGCATTTTTAGCCAGAATAAAAATCTTTTACAGAGAGTAGTAAGAAGATCCATTTCTTTATTATGAATCTCTGTCACTTCCTCCTAATGAAGGCAAAAGCTTGTTATTACCTGTGCTCACATTAAAAAAAAAAAGTACATCAGTAACTTCTATTCTTCCTAAGATTCTAGGGTGATACACAACCCTGGTTAAGGTATAACATGCCATCCCCATGAAAAAGCCTAAGATGACTTCTGCTACCATTTTAGTGAAAGGAAAAAAATGCTCAGAAAAATCCTCTTACTGGTATTGGTTGCATACCACTCCTCACAAATTTGGAGACTAGAGAGAGATGCTAGACTTAGTCCATTTGTACCTGGCACACTTTCAAAGTGAATGAACTAAAGCATATGGTCCCCCAAAAGAAGCACTGCAGAAGGAGGTAGTCAGGAGGCAAAACATGGTATCCTGGATCACGAGCTAGAGAAGGACCACACAGCAACAGGCTGTGTACTAGTAGTAAGGGAAGATTCAGGCTTGGAAGTACAAAAGGAACCTTTTTCTCCAAAAATCAAAGACATTTATGGTTATTTGTTCCAGACTATGAGTTCCTATGTCAATTTTCCCTACTTTCTGTTCATTTTCTGTTTCACATTCCAACACACGGAACATCAGTTACGTTCAGCAGGAGCAGACATAGTACCAGGCACAACAACTGCGGTGTCTCAAAAGCATAGGCTTAAATAAGAAAAGTGATACTATTTCTGTGCCTGCAGACTGAGAAGATCAAGAACAAGATCAGAGATGGTCTTTTAAGCAAAAAGTAGATAGTAATTATCCTTGCATCTTGCAAAGAAGCAAAGCTACCCTACTGTTCCCTAGAAGTATGCAAGTCCCCTTTTATGAGCAGAGAAAGGACTGCAGCATGCAAGCTGAATGCTATGGCTCATATTCTGGATGTGTAGGTATTGTCCATCAATATGTATGTACCTATATCTTCAGAAAACTGAGGTAATGGGGAGGGAGGGGAGGAAAGCTGTTTAAGAGTGTTTAATCAAAAGGCAGACATTTCCAGTTTTACTGGGGTTTTTGTTTGTCCATGTTTTTAACTAAAGAGGAGCAATGCATGCGGCATGAGGAGTCTGTCCTGCCTCTCATACACTCTGATTGTGTGAAGCTTTTTTTTTCCCCCTCTTCCCCCACAGTAATGGTACAGAATACCACTCCATTTGCGCCAAAAGTACTTTTAATGGAATTTGGAAATACTCACTTTTTTCTTTTAATAACTAGAAGTTTAGCCATCAAAACAAATGAAAATACACTTTCTTTGCCTAATAAGCAGATTCAGTTTTGCTCAAAATGCTTGATAAGCATGGTGAAACAGGATGCAGTGTTATATTCATATTCAGTAACAGACTGGAGGATGCAACTGCATCAGATTCACGGGTCAAAGAAATCCCACTGGTGGACTACAAAACTGGAGTAAAAGAAGCGCAAGCACTGGTCGGGGGGTAGACAAAGACCACATAATTCTAATCCTTAAACCAGGACCCATAAGAAAAACCAAAGGTATTCAACAATAATTATTATTTAATCTTAGTCTAAAAATATGCACGTCTATTGTCTCCTGTACTTAGGTGCATGTAGTCCAATCAAGAAAATGGAAAAGAAATAGACATTTTGGAAATGTGAGACAACTAGGCACCAAATTTGCAGAAAGATAAATTAGCTGTTGTACCCAGAACAGGAAGCACACACTGGAGGGCAAATTAAGACAGCTAAAGCTTTGGTCCTGTCTGTAAATAGGGAATTTCACAAGAGGATTTTTTAAAATCATAGCTGAGTTTTGTCACTTCAGACAGACTGTGCTATTCTTCACAGAAGGAAACTGAGCCCAATTATACATATGTAAATTTTTTTTATCTGACTCAAAAAAATCTGCTTAATAATTTATGCCATTTAGGAAGATGAAACTATATTGCAAATACAGCATTATATAAAATTCTAACTTGTATTTTTTTCAGACACTGTAAAAATGCTGTTCACAACATATCTCTAAGCATAAGGCAAAAGAACAGTCTGAGAATGAATGTTCTCTGTATTTCAAATATAGCTGTGGCTCTGTAGAGTTAAACATTTATTTGAAGGTAAAATACGTAACACATCTAACTGAGAGCAGACAAAATCAAAGGTTAAAAATGTATCAAAGAAATCTAAAGCATTTAACATGTTATTTTCAAATGAAACATTTTAATATTTTATCCCTAAAGTGAATTCTGTCTTTGAACAAAAAAATATCTATAGACTTATAACCAAGTTTTTTAGAATCAACACATAGATGCATTTCATTTTCAAGTGTAAGTACCATAATATAAAATATTCCCACCTGTGAGAAGTGTTTCCCACAAATGTTACATTCAAAAGGTTTCTCACCTAAAAGAAGAAACAGAACATAGAACTTCTAATAGTTGCAATAGAATACAAATGTTTTAAATTGGTATGCTTCCTTTCAAAACATGTAATGTAAGAGTAAAAATATCCCCAAAAGGACACTTACCCATATATGTAAGGGGAAATTCCAAGAGGGAAGTACAGCATTTACCATTAAGCATCTAAGACAGACTTGCTCAGAAACAGAGTTTATCTTTCAAAACAAGTAGGTAGAATAGTTTTCATACAAATGGGAATGTTTTGTTATTTTTTTAAAATACTTTTTACTTCAAATGAAAGGTATACCGTAACTCCAGGAAGAACAGAATAGATGACAAGGTCCTACAACAGCAACAGCAGCTATGGGAGGTGCATCAGTTTTTTCACTTGTACACACAAAGGCCCACTCTTAAAAAGAATAAGGAATGCAGAGAAGCTAGTTTGTAAGCCTTCTCTGTTCAATGTGTATCATACATCTCTGATCACCACATAGCCATTCACTTCTAGCATTTGCCCTCAAATTCTAATCCTACATAAGAGTATCGGATGATTAACCCAAGTATTTTGCTGCAAAACTCTGAATTTACACATATAAAACTGGTGTTCTTGAATCTCCAAAAACATATAAACAGCTTTAGTAAAAATTAGTGCAGCTCACTTTAGCTTTTCAAAATAACTTGATTCTCAATCTAGAAGGTGACTGAACAATATTTCAATTCTCTAGCTGTCAATGAGAAAATAACTTTTTTCTAATCACTTTTTCTTCTCTGCAGTACTTCATAGAGGCAATTTTTTTTCCCTGCTTAGTTCTTGGTTTTCTAGTTTTTACACTGTTGATAAAAATCTCTGTGCATCTTACAGAAATTTTAAAACAATAGATCTAAAACTGCTAATAATATTTTCATGAGTCTAACTGTACATTAAAAGGACATATATATGTGGCCCACAGGTATAGGAAAGCAAAATTAGTGTAAATCCCTGTGATTGTGAATGCAGCTATTTCAAGAAGGAAAAAGAGATCTTACACTGTGTTTCATCTTGGTGCTGATTATAAATCTGTATAAAGATTTTAATTTATTTTTTTAATTATCATTCTCATTATTTTACAGAACACCTCTTGGCTATTTGTAGCCTTCTCTTTCAGCAATTATTCTCTACATCAGTATTCTTCCTCCATCCTTGGAAGTGTTACAGGCAACAACTACAATATCCAGGTGCTGAGGTTCCATTATCCTTCCCTACTGCCAAATACAGGTGAAGTTTTTTTCAAAAAGGGCTAAATGCAAGTCTCTTAGATTTTAAAGCACAAAGTTATGTGGCTTCACATACAGCAGTCTTGCAGTTAGTGTAACAGTTTGTGGCTGTATCTACTTTTTCTACTTAAATGAAGAACTTCCATGAAGAATGGAAATCTTACAGCAGTTTCAAGAAAGCTTTTATTCAATTAAAGATAAAAATTAAGAAACTAATAACTCAATTATAAAGAGCACTGAGGCTTGATTTCATTATGGCTCTAAATTTGCAAAACACTAAAAATTCTGGTATTGACAACACAAATATAAATGAAACCAGTAGGGAACCAGATCTGTGGTGACTGGGAAGGCTTCTGAACAGCTGTAAAAGCATGAAGGTAATTTGAAATGGCGGTTAAAAACCACTAATAGCAATTTCTGCAGAAATTACCTACACCAAAAAAATAAAGTTACTGTCGACAAAAAGACTATTATGTGAACAGAAAACCACCCTGAAATAACTAGAGGGAGGGAGGGAACTGGAGGCTCAAGTTTCTCAAAACTATTCTTGTAGGCTGCATGCAGCCTCATTATAACTGTACAAAGAGTTGGAGTTTTATTCCCCACGATAAAGATAAAACAAAAAAGTTTTCTTTGAAAAGAAATTTCAAACTAGTTTATGAAGAACAATTCTACACCTACATAAGACTCCCACCCCCTGGGCATATCAAGTAGCCTATTCCAAGAATGAATTCTAGAAGAAATACTAAATTACTCAGTGTTGTAGCATCTCTCAGGTAAAGTGAGGCTAATTGCTTCCTACGGCATATTAGTAAGAGTGCAGCTAGTAAGCTGAAGATGATTCCTCTCTACCTATCACTGGTGAGCCCATATTTGGAGCCTTAAGAAGAGAAGGCAAACAGGAAATCTTAACTGCTGTCTACATGCAATGGGCAGATAGATGCAACCAGGTTGGTCTTGAAGGTACACAGGGATAGGACAAGAGGCTACAGAAACAAGTTAGATCATGAGAAATTACTATTAGATACAGGAAAAGTATCTTTTGGCCCATGAGGGTGGTCAAACACTAGAACCTGTTGCCTAGAGAGGTTGTGGAATCTCTGTCCTTGGAGATATCAAAAATTTGACTATGCAAGGTCATAAGCAAAACAACCCAATCTAATTTGACCTACCTTGAGCAGAGGATTGGACTAGATGACCTCCAGAGGTCCATTCTAATTTAAGTTACTCTTCGATTCTATGATTCCAAACCAAAAACCTCATCTGAGAACACTAATCTTCTTAAAGACCACAGCTGGATCAACAGCAATACAGAAAATTTGGGAAAGAGTAGTAACTGAACTACAATTAAGACAGTGCTTTCTGTCTTCTGTCGCAACCTTCTTGTTCAACACTCTGCAAGAAGAGATGAAGTACTTGGTAGTGGGACCAAAGCAGTGGTGTGTCAGCTCCAGAAGAGAAAGGCATGAAGGCAGAAGTGGTGTTCCCAAAGAGATCACAAAGGTAGGAGCAGGACACACTAAGGCATGGAATGCTGGCAACTTGCTCAAGCAAAGCTCAGAATGAAAAGGTTGAGGATCAACAGTGTAACTCTGGTCCTGTTCTATCCATCCTGCCAAGAGTTCTTTTCACAGGGTTGGGTTGGTTGTTTGTTGTTTTTGGTTTTTTTTTTTTGGGGGGGGATGTTTCCTGAAAATATTTAAAAAAAAACCAAAACAGTGCATATTCCTAGACAGGTAAGGACTGTATAAGAGAGATATACTTGTTTCATTTTTTCAGACAGGTCAATCTAATAAAAACCAAATTGTAACATTGAGTCCAAATCAAAGTCAATGCAGTAAGCTGTTTAGAGATTCCTTTATATATCTGCTAGCAATACAATTAAAACAACTGGACAATCCAATACCATGACTTGTGTTGAACATAGTATGACTGTCCTTCACACAGAAAACTCATCAATGCAACCATGTTAACCTGTACTTTCTTTAGTAGTTCCTAGCATTCAGGGACAGAGAATTTCACATGTGCTTTTCCTTGACAACCAGGCCAGCACAGCACTTGTGTTGAAAGAGTTTTCATTGGCAGGTTAACAACTGGCTTGCCAGTGTGAAAAGTCCATTTTAGTAACTTTGCTTCCTTTCTCTTCAGCAAAGCCAGGTTTGGAGGACTTTCAGTAAGCACTGCAATACTTAAATGCTTGATAACTCTTTTGCTCAGTTCTAGAAAATGAATGTTTTTAAATAAAATTGATTAGCTAGTAATTTGCTATGTTTTCTGAAGTGGCAGATGAATGGAAATGGCTTTTAGCATACATTTAGATTACTTAACTTCCAGTATACCTAATATTAATAACACAGATGTGCCCTGTACCTTCAGCTACAGATCCTTCCTATATTAACATCCTACTCACTATCCACTGCAATTTTGCAAATACTTTTTGCACTAGTTGGATATCTGAAAACAAATTAACATAACCCAAAAATACCAAGCAAGCAAACAAGCCTATCTATTCATATTCTTGCCTCAGTTTTTCCACCTTTCTTTGCTGTGCTTATTATTTATTAAACTTTTGCTTTTGAAGTTTCTCAGTTTAGCACATCTATAGAAGAACATTAATGCCACATTAAGTAGCATTCAAGTCTGGAATTTTTTTAAAACCCTTGGAAGAACATAGTATATGAAAAGCAAATTGGAATTCTTGAATCCAGTGTATACTCAGACTATTAGGTAAGGACAGCAACAACAAAATCAAGTCTAAGATAAGATCACTTTTCTCACACACAGTATAAACCTAGTTCATATCAGGCAGTGTTGTGGAATGTAACAAAACACCTACCAGAGCTTAAGAGGAGTGGAAGCACGTGTAAATACACAGACCTCAAATAAGAACAAAGAAATTAATTGCAACATACATAAATAACCTTGCAGAGCTACTGCAACCCTTTTCCTCTTTTTCCATTTCCTACACTTGTAAGCATTTGCTGGCCATGATGTGTCTAAAGAAAAAAAAAAATAATTTGTAAGACACTTGTATCAGGGGCTACAGCCTCTTTCTTCTATAAAGCTTAGTACCCAGTCCACTCCCCTGACCTGTAAGCTACAATACATTAGAAGAGGTAAACTAAACTTCAAACCTCATGTTTTAAATAGTTTAGCAGGCTCAAAAACATACAATAATTAAGTCTACCACTCTTAAAAAACCAATTAGTTTAATGGGCACCACAACTCACAAAATCCAGATTTTTTCCAATGATTGAGATGTATGAGGAAGGGCAAATTCTAACAGGTTTCTCATAGTTGGGGTCTTTCACACAGATTCTCTAGCACAAACACACATTACTGACTTCAGAGTCTCTCCCTCAGTTGAGACTTCTCTAGATTCTCTATCTTCCATCTGATCACCTATTTTCCTGAAATTTCTAAGATACTAAAAATAAAGATATACCTGATGATGTCAGCTCAAATCAAAATAGATTAAAAAAAAAATGCAAGGCAATGAGAGGATCTAGGTAAGAGACATATGCAACTCTTTCACAGGTGACCAAATTAAGAAAAAAAAAAAAGTATTAGTAATGTGAACATACAGAAGTAGTCAAAGATACCAAGTGAAAACTTAAGGAAGCTCATACAAAATGTTCATATTTTCAGGTTCTGGAAAGATTTTTCTCCTAATAATATGAAAAAATAAATTCTTAATACTAAGGATCAATTAACAAAAGAAATTAATGTCTACTAAGAGGGATTTATATTTATTGTCAAAGTACCAATACATGTATGCTCATTTTCAGTTATGTTTATTTGACAAGATTGAGAGAGATGCATTTGTATATTTAATACAAGGAAAAAAAGAGAGGCAAAATTTCAACAGCTTAATCAGGAATAATGCATCTCAAGGACTTGAAATCAGTGATGTTACTTGACAGCTAAAGTAATTCTTAAAAACCTTTAAAAAAACATATAAATTTGTAGAAATATAATAGAACATGCTGGTTAAATTGAACAGACAGATTAGTTAATTAAAAATTAGACTACGTCTTGGTTTTCACTTGAATAAAAAGATCTTTAGAAATGAAGCTATGCTAGGTTTAAAAATAATATTACCTATGAGTTTTTAAAATAAACTAATTCAAAATTCCTATTCACGCAACAGTCTACTTGTCTGCAAGTGCATTACACTCTAGGTAAATGCAATTAAAGTTGTTCACACACTGAAACAAATATAAACTAATTATAGAGCATATTTCTACATGTTAAAAAGAAATAACCACATAGACCTAATCATTGTAGTAGACCTAATTATTGTATCTTACAATACATAATCAGAGAGAACTGAGGTCTAGAACACTTGTAGTGTCATCTTCTATCCATTTACACTTTTCATTGTTATCTGACTTGACTTCTGGGTGATCTGACAAAATGACTAGAAATACCTCTTCCAAATGCAAGACAAAAATAAAATTTTCATTGAAATATCACGCAACATTCTTTGAAAAAGAACCCTAAAAACCCAAAAGACAAATCTTTACTACCACTCTTCAGCTAAACTCAGCCTTACAGTCTTTATTCCTGTATGATTATTCATTTTTCAAAAAACCAAAACCACAACCTTTTGAAAGTAACACTTCAACCAGCATCTCTGCATCAAGCGATACTGTAAGACATCCTCTTTAATTGAAATATTTGGCATGCAAACCAAGTTACTAATAACTGTACCTGTATGAGACCTTTTATGGAGCTCCAAGTTGCTTGGATGTTTGAAAGCCTTCCCACATAATTCGCAAGTATATTGCCTCTGTGACTGAAGAGTCTGTGATTGCCCTTCTTGTTCCAAAGGACCTTGAGATCTTTCAATTTCAACAGTTTGTTCAAAATTCTCAGAATTCACTAAATCTTCAGCTTCTTTCTCATCAGTAACTTTAGCATTCATGTCCACAGTACCTTCATTTACAGATTCAGTTACTCCTGCTATTCTACTGTCATCTGTTTTAGGCTCAGGCTGCTGCTCTGCAGGCTTCTGAGATCTTAAAAAGTTTAACTTTTTGAGGTGTATCGCTTTTTTCAGCCGCATCTGTTTGGTGGGCTGCGTAAGCGTGCTTTCTGCATCTTGGTCTGGAGCAGCTTCATTCATGGACTGAACCAGAAAGTTTGATGGTAAATGATCAGAGGTTTCCAGAACACACTCAGAGTGATTGACAGTACAAGAATTATTCTCTACTGTGTTTATTTCTGTAGATGTGTTGTAAGAAAAGGATTGTTCTGCTCCTCTCTCATGATTAGAGCAAGCATTTTGCTTATAGAACTGTTTACTGTAAAAGTTGCGTAGTTTGTAATAGTAATTTGGTTGTTTAAATGGAAGCTCTGTGCAGCTGCCATCTAAGGAGTCTTGTGGTTGTTTCTGTACATCACCTGAGGGTGTGTGAAGATTAACAGACTGTGATGCATGAGGATGGTGGTCAGCCAAGCCTTTATTTGCTTGTGTGTCAGATGAGCATTCATGCAATAGGTTTGTTCCATAACTGTCATTGGTACAGCTAGTATCTGCAGTCAAAGTATTCTGCAGCGAAAATACGCTATTACAAGGCATGCTGGCTGTTTGCTCTACAGCTGTAGAAGATTTTAAAAAGGTGTGGCAAATGTTCAGCACATTTTGCACTTGGAGACACTGTGCAATATCCAACATAGCTTGTACATTGTCCTGGCTAAGATCCAGGTGAGAGGTGTACATGAAGTCCAAGATCTGGCCTATGCCACCTACATTTTTAATGTCCAAGTGAAAGACATCATTCTTCTGGCCTGAAGAATTCTGGAAAAGGGTCCTAATAAAATAAGACAAATATTCAAACACAAACACAACTAATTCACAATCACTTTTATAAAAAAATACACACACACCCCTCAAACAGACTGCCTGCTACAAAAGAAAAATTTACACTATGTGGTCTTATCTATTATTATTGCTATGTTTTTGCAAACGAACATTTCAAAACTGCTCTATTACTTCTCTTATACATTAGTCCTACACTAGTACACTTAAAGCATAAATCAAAGCAAGTGATACTTTATTTAACTTTAATTTTCTATTTTTTAAACTTTTGGAATCACACCCCATATTTATGGTTTCCTATCCAATGTTCTTTACATATTAGGTTCAGTGGTGTATTTATGGACTGTTTGCAAAAGTTGGTTGACTCAGAATAGTGTTCCTCCTTCCACTGTGGCAAATAAAAGAGGACATGAGAAACTTTCTAGTAAGAAGAAGAAGATAGACCTCAAAGTGAAATAAACTATTCTCTTTTGGCAAGTGAGCTTGTCCATCAAACTTTACCAGTAAACCTTATTAAAGTTCTTACTATTAGTTCTTTCTCCACAAGTAGATGAGAGTATGGTAGTAATAAACAAGAGGATGCCATTATTTTCAATTTACTCTCTCATATCCCAAAAAAGTACTTTTTTACTGGTACTGGATGAGAACCAAAAGAATAAGGCAGAGTACAGGTACATAACCCTAAAAGAGCAGTCCAACCAATACCCACTGAACTGGCACTGAACACTTAAAAGTGTCCAAATTCACAAGTCTCCTTACTTGTACAGCTGTAGTTCTTCACATGCGGAACTAGCCCTAGATTAAGCAGGTTTATACTCTGCCTCAGTCAGAAACTTCACACCCTTTCATTAAAACTTCCAGTCTCTAACATGATACAGTAAATGATGATATATAAATAGGGTCAGGTCACTCCTATGTAGCTATTTTTCCACACCAGGAAATGCCCTGAACTTGATGATTCCTATTCGTGGGTTGATTCTCAAATTATGTTTTGTTTAAAGATGGGCATAATATCAATAAACTCTGAATCTTAAGCAAATGAGAGTCTAGGCTTAAACTCAGAAATGCAGAGGCTACTTTGAAGCCAGTGCCCACATCCAAGTTCTTTCATAAATCCAGCCTGTACTATGTAAATTAAAACTAGAACTATAACGAACAAATCTGGGTTGAGTCTAAATTCACTAGTCACTCATATCCTATTGAATTTTAATAAGAGTTAAATGCTTAGTTCTTTTTAACTACTTAAAAATAAAGTCTTTGACCAAAATTTCACTTCATCATCAGGATTACAACACTAGAAAAGAAAAAGGAGAAACCACCTCTCATCTTTTTTCCCTGATCATAACATAAAAACATTCTTTACACAATAATTGGTAGTCAAGCTTTAGAGATGCTTCAAGAAGCAAGGTCTAAAAACTGCCAGGTCTAACAGCTTACACATAACTAATATAAAACACTAAGTTTGGAGATCAAGCATCCCCCAAAATTTGGAGGATCAGTGAGGGTTATACAGAGGGGAAAGAAACCAGTTGGTTTCATGGGCCACCTGCATGCTTCAAAATACAGATGTTCTCTAAGAATCTGTTCTAAACAGAGGTGCAATAATAACCTATATACTCTAATTTTATTTTGAATATATAATTGACAAAACAATTCACGTTTGTGAATTGTTTTGTCAATTATATCCCTTACCTGGCTCTGTTTGTGTACTCTGCTATGCTCCTTGTACACCGTTATCTTTCCATACTGAAATACCAAATACAGGTCCACACCAGAATCCATTGTACGAGGCAAAATAAGCAAGTAAGGATCAAGAAAAATCCATACCCAAACAGTGTAGTAGTTAACTATATATATCTAGAAATTAAATTAGGAGTACCATAGTTTTTAATGAGATTAAATACTTGGTATATATTTCTCTCTGGACAAACAATTTAACTTCTTCCTTTACATTCCAACAGTTTACTTAGTCTGCAACTACCAGAATAAAAATACCCATCTCAGAGGAAACCTCAACCAACAGCATTTAGTTCATTTTTTTAAAAGAACAATTTCTATCACATACCTGAAATATTGACTGAAAGCAGCTAATACATTTTTGTGTGCTTTGAAGCAGACACCTTTTACCACCAGCATGCAATCACAGAGAAGTCCCTGAATGCGCTGTTCATGTAGCTGCTGGAGAAGATGACAACTATGGCTAGCAACAGTGTCCATGCTAGAAAATCACTTAAATTACCTACAATGAAATAAAATGCTAAGATGAATTTTTAATATTAAATTGCAAAGTGAATTTATAATATGAAGAACATTTTTACAATTTGTTTTAGCTCCTAAAGGAAACAGATTTCAGCTCACACCTGCAATGTAAGCTCTGATGACATTTCTCTGATTAAAGACGTCACAGTATTGTTCACCAGTAGATGGTTATACAGCAATACACATAGGAAATATGAAGTTTTGCTTACACAAAGAGCTTATGCAAAACTGTGTTAATGGCACTGCCAATAAATTGAACTTGATAAAAATATAAAATTTACGTAACTTTGATAAGAATTAGATTCAAAGGCAAAAGCATAACACACCTACAAAATCAACAGCATTTGTACAGGAACACCCGTTTCTTCACCCTCTAAGCTGAAAAGGCAGAATATTATAGTAGCATTACTTATGCCATATTTGTTGCTGTTGTAACTAAGCACATTTCCCACGTGGATCTGATTCATTAGGCAAGTTAATATGGTAATTTTTATTTAGTACAATGTAAACTCTCTTTTAAAAATCACCTCTTTAAACAGGTTGAACGGAAGACAAGTAGCATTCCCCCACAACACGTTTACATTCAATTCTATACTTCCTTTTCTTATTTGAAGAAAGATGAAACTCCTCCCCTGTCCACTTACAAATATGAAAGGAAAATTCCAACTATTAGGACAATGAAGCGGAAAAACCACCTTGTGTTAAAAATGACAAGAAAGCGATTGCCCCCATTCTCATTTCTCATAAGCACTAAAGGCTCCTTTTAATGTATTCTGTTCCTCTGTGATTCACTGCCTCCTGCTGTATTGAGGTGTCCTTATCACGTCTTTTACCGGGCTTTAAAATAAAGAAATCACATCTGTTTGCCAGATGATTGCTTTCTTTGTGTACGTGTCCCACCACTGCATCCTGCGAGTACTTTAACCACCTGTGAACTGACTCTCGGCCATCAGGTGCCCGTGCCCAGCGGACAGGGCAGACACGCTCAGCTGTTCCCGGACAAGAGTAACCCCGGCACCACAGTCGCTGTTTATGCTTAAACTGCCATTTCGAGTTCCCCTCGGCCTCGCCTCGCCAACGCTCAGGCTCGAAGCGTAGCACGGAGAAGGGGGACAGAGGAGGGGTTTGCCTCAGAAAACCGAGCACGGAGGGGAGGGCGGGCTCAGCCCCGCGGGCAGGCGACAGGGCGGCACCGCGGGGGGGCGCGGGGACGCCGCAGGGCGGGCGAGGGGCCGGTAGCGGGGTCCGAGCAGGCGCTGCCGCAGGGGGACGGGGC